GTTTTTGACCTACAAAAACAGCAGTTTCATACGGTTCAACTTAATAGAATGCTGTTTGTTAAAGAGCGGAAACCTTGCCCGTGAAACTAACCCTTGTGGACTTTCCTCATTTCCTTAGACACTATAGAAGGTCAAATTCAAGATTCCTATAGAGAAAGCACAAACTGAAATTAACAAAAATTACCTAATGAGTGTAAATATTGCAGACCTAGAGATACTCTTTACCCAGCTTTGTTGCTGGTAAATATAAAACCCCTGTTGCAGAGTTGACTGCCTTTATTTGTGGAAAGCCAGTAAGAATCCCGGGGCACCTGGGTGGCTTAGTTGGTTAAGTGTCCGACTCTTGATCTCGGCTCAGGTCATGCGGGATCAAGCCCCGCATCAGGCTTTGCCTGCTTGGGATTCTTTCTCCCTTCTTCTCTCTCTGCCCCTTCCTTGCTCAACCTCTCTCTCTCTCTCTCTCAATATACATAAATAAAACATTTTTAAAAAGAATAAAAAAAAAAGAAGAATCATAATCCTCCTCTGTTTGGGTGCTATATTTGAAGTCTAATCTCACTGACTTTGCACAAAAATTTCTGGAATCACCACTTAGCAGCTTTGCCATAGATAGTTCATGAAAACCCTATGCAGTTCAATTTTAAAATTTTTAAAGGATTTGAATAGCTTACAAGCAAAAGTGATAATGTCTTTGTATACACACTGCAGGTAAGCCATGACCAAAACAGTGAGATCTGGAAAACACCTATAGTGGCCCTTTCTCAGTAGCTGAAATTCCCATCATTCAGCACTCCTTAATTAACACTTGAAGGGCTTAATAAAATTTCAGGTATGCCATATGGGAGAGACAGCACATAAATTTATTCATTCATTCATTCATTCATTCATTCATTTTTTTGTTTGTTTATTCATTATTGATTTCCTTGTTTACTTATTTATTTTGACTGTTTTTATTTTCTTATTCTTTTGTAAAGTTCTTTTTACATTTTTTTTAAACATTTATTTATTTTTGAGACAGAGAGAGATAGAGCATGAACGGGGGAGGGGCAGAGAGAGAGGGAGACACAGAATCGGAAGCAGGCTCCAGGCTCCGAGTCATCAGCCCGGAGCCCGACGCGGGGCTGGAACTCACGGACCGCGAGATCGTGACCTGAGCTGAAGTCGGACGCTTAACCGACTGAGCCACCCAGGCGCCCCTGTAAAGTTCTTATTTTAGTTCTAGTTAGCTAACATTTGGTGTTATATTAGTTTCAGGTGTACAATATAGCCATTCAACACTTTCATACACCGCCCTGAATGGCACATAAATCTATAGCCAGACATATATTTATACCTTAGTATGAGCTGTTTAGTATATCAGCTATTTTGATAATCCGGTACGATCGCACGCAATACAGTGAGGGGTAAGGAGGCAGCAAGTGTAAAGGTCTTTATCACAGGACAAGTTTAATTCGTGTGTGACCACAGAGTGTCTATGTCAATGGGGTGAAGGCAGAAGGCCAAAGGCGTGATATTCCAAAATAGTGGAGGCTCAACAAAAATTTTCCCACGTCGTAATTTTCAGGAAGTTCTACTCTTTCTGAAAAATTTTTTAACGTTTATTTATTTTTGAGAGAGAGAGAGAGTGGGGGAGGGGCAGAGAGAAAGGGAGACATAGAATCCGAAGCAGGCTCCAGGCTCTGAGCTGTCAGCACAGAGCCTGACTCAGGGCTCAAACTCATGAGCCGCGAGATCATGACCTGAGATGAAGTCGGACACGTAACCAACTGAGCCACCCAGGCGCCCCTCTACTCTCTCCTACAGAGCGGGACGCCTGCCTTATAAAAGCAGTATATTTCTGAGAGATGAATCTTCTGAGACATTTTGATATAGTGTGGCTGGTATATGGTAAAGGCTCCATGATAATTACTAATCAAAAAATTCCTGGGGCACGCTGGCACCCCCACACAAAGTGAACGCCTGCAAACCCCTCCCCCGATAAGGATCCAGGGTCCCAGGTTATTCTTGGCCTTAAAGTGACTTTTCTGGTGACACTTTTGGAGTTAGGTTTGCGAAGGCATAGACTCAGCCTAGTGGAAAATCATGTCCTGAGAGCTGCCTGTAGTGACAGGGTGCAGGCCACCACAAACTCAGGCTTTCTCAGAGATTTCCCCTGTCTTTGAAGTCCTAACTTGGCTCCTGCTTGATAGACAGTAATGCAGAGACACCCGGATATCTCAGTAGGTTAAGCCTCTGACTTGGGCTCAGGTCATGATCTCGCAATTCATGAGTCTGAGCGCCACGTCGGGTTCTGTGCTGACAGCTCAGCCTGGAACCTGCTTTGGATTCTGTGTCTCCCTCTCTCACTGCCCCTCCCCTGCTCATGCTCTCTCTCTCTCTCAAAAATAAATAAACACTAAAAACAGTGTATCTTTAAAAAAGAGACAGAACGGTAATGGAGAGTATTACAGTCGAGGAGAGGGGCGCCGGGCTGGGACAAGCTCTCTCCAGCCTTCTTCAGCCAAGCCTCAGGAAGGGCTGAGGAGAAGAGGGAAGGGCAAACGACACAGTCCGGAGCTGGAGGTTAGATTCACAGAGCCCCAGAGCGGGAAACTGTGGCCCAGAAAACGTCATGGCCACGTTTGTTTGTTTCTCCCTCTGTGACGGAGACATGGCAAGCCTTTGCCGCCACCCAACTCTCCCCCCCCCCCCCCAACTAAATACTCAAGGCCTAACTGGAAACTCAAGACACTCCTTCTATAATCACATCTTCATGGCAACAATCTTGAAATGAACCTCAAGAAGTGATACTGGGGCCAGGGCCAGCAAACTGCACCCCACTGATAATCCAGGGTACTGGTCTCCAGTAAACCGGGTGTTCTAACCTTCATCATCCCTCCTAGGAATGTGCCAACTTCCTCCTAAGAAAATGACAATAATTTCAGATGATTCTTACTCAAAACCAGGATCATTCAGTTGTTAGACTAACACTCACTAGGCTCCTAGTCGCCCTCAGTCACTGATGAAGTCCTGAGGTAACGGCCCCTCCATGCTGTCCGGAAGCTTCTCCATGTATATTCTATGCTCCGTCCTCCTCCTCTTGGCTCTCAGATTTTTTTTACATTCATTCAACACAGGCTGCCTCTATTTCAGATTCTGTGGCCTCTATCGACATACAATTAATTTACATGGAGCGTGGCAAACAACTTAGGATCCAAGGGGAAGATCAGCCTGGCCCTTCCACACCCTGGTACTACTCGCCATGGAAACAGAACCCACGTCCAAAGCTAAAGGACTCCTCAGACAGGTGGACTCAAGTGGTAGGAGGCATTACACATGCAACACGAGGAGACACAGGTTCTAATCCTACCTCAGGTGTGAGATAGAATCTTACACTGAAGGTGTGAGAGTCAGGGTCACCCACTACCATGTGGGTGGGAAGCTTTTGAATCTCATTCACATGATTTTCATTTTTATAGAACATACCATAGGACTTTTCCCTTAGAAAGGCTCATTCGTCCTCTGGTTTGCCTCCAAATTATAGATCTAATCACCGTTCCCTCTTTTGAGGGGGAGAATGGTAACTCCACCCAAGGCAAGTTTAAATCAATTGAAGTGAGATCAGTTGGTAATGGTTTAGTATGAAAAAGCAAAGGACATTCACCACAATCCTGGGACAGTTCGAGACATAGCCCTGATGTCCCAGAACTTCACTCCACCACAATTAAGGCCCATGCCTTACTGTGTTTTTACAAATCTTTTTACCCCACTTAAAAGCATTCTCCTTTAAGGACAGAAAGTAGTTTATTCATCTGGGCATCTCTTCCACAGTTCCCGGCTTACCTACAGAAAAGTCACCAAAACTTTGTAAAATCAAATTAAAAATATCCTCAACAACGAACATAGTCTTACCAGTTAAAATATATTCTAATAGTTAATTTCTAAAGGACTCCCTTCCACATAGCCCTGCTTCTACACACACACATATACACAACAAGTTGATTTCAGAAAAGTCAGAGGCAATCACAGCATCCCTGCCGTCCGAGTGTAGACTTTCTAAAGATAAGGAACAAACATTTTCTATGCTTCGTATTTGGTATGGTACCTGCTTTATAGAACTATTCATTAAGTCAACAAATATTTATTTAGTGCCTTTGTGGGGCTGGGAGATAGTCATCTCCACTCAAATGGAATCTGCAGTCTCATGTGCAGGGGTGGGGTGGGGAGTGGGAAAGAGATAATAAAGAAGGAAATTGCACATACTATATAGAGTCTTAATAAAAGATGAGGGGTGCCTGGGCGGCTCAGTGGATTAAGCATCTGACTTTGGCTTGGGTCATGATTTCACCATTCGTGAGTTCAAGCCCCACATTGGGCTGTGTGCCGTAAGCACAGAGCCTGCTTTAGATACCCTGTCCCCCTTCTTTCTCTCTGCCCCTTCCCCACTCGCCCATGCGCTTGCTTTCTCTCTCTCTCTTGCTCTCTGAAAAATAAACGTTTTTTAAAAAAAAGATGATACATTGAGAACAGATGTGTGGAGAGTGCCATTTTATATTGGGGTTCAGAAAGGGCCTCCCAAAATCAGAATTTAAAAACGTGTGTGGTGTCCACATGTCCAGAAAGATCTAGCCACATGGGCCTCATAAGCAGGAGCATCTGGAGTCACAGAAATAGCTAATAGCCAACGCACCAAAGGAGGCACAGGCTTGGACTGTTGAGGCCCTAAAGGAAAGCCAGTGTGGCCAAAGTGTCACAAATGATGAGGAAAAGTCCAAGAGACCACGTCAAAGAAGTGAGCAGGAACCACATCATGGGAAGCCCCATGGGTCTTGAATCGTGTTTGGATGTTTGCAAAGCCAATAGAAGCCATTAGATGTTTTAGGGAGGAAAGTGACAGGATCTTGATTTATGTGTTTTTTTAATTTTTTTTTGTTTTGTTTTTTATTTATTTTTGAGAGGGTGCAAGCTGGGGAGGGGCAGAGAGAGAGAGGGCAGAGGATCCGAAGTGGGCTCTGTGCCGACAGCAGTGAGCTCGACGTGGGGCTTGAACTCACGAACCGCAAGATCATGACTGGAGTCAAAGTCAGATGCTCAACTGACTGAGCCATCCAGGTGCCCCACCTGGATGTTATGATCACCCCAATGGCTATGTGGGGAATGGCAGGTGGGTAAGAGAAGAAACTGAGAGACCCGTTAGTAGGCAATTGCAGTAATCCTCCGGAGAGACAGCTCTGCCTAGGGGAGCAGCCAAGCCGTGGTAACAACTGTGCAGACATTCCACGGGAAGTGCAGGGAAAGGCTTTCTGCACAGCGGAACAGCAGGAGCAGGAGCAGGAATGCATGGACGACGACTCCAAGTTCAGTGACCAGAGAGGTCAGGACACCTGAAAGAAGAAAAGAAAATGGTGTCAAAACAGAAAAATACCTACATATACTCACAAGGAACTAAAATATATGCCAGACAGAGAGGAGCCAACAGGAAAGTAAAAAATGAAAAGCATTTGTAAAAAATAACATAAACAGAGCTGAGCGATCTAGAAAAATACTAGAGTAAGTGCAGACCCCCCCCCCCCACACACACACCCTTGGACTGGCAGATTCAACTAAGCAAAGATGTCAGTTCTCCCCCAAGTTATGCTATAAATGTAACGTAATCCCAATCAAATTCCAAATGGTGTTTTTGGATGGGTAACTTGGCAAAAATGTTCTCAACTTCGTGTGAAAGAGTATGTGTGTGAGAATATTGAAGATGCACACACCCACGGCTCAATGTGTTACAAACCCTGGCAGGTGTTCACAGGGACATGAGGGGCCCAGAGACTACACCACCCCCTTCCCTTCCGGCTCAAGTTGTCAGCTCAAGGCCAACTGCCCTCTCGCACTTAACCCTGCTGAAGTATTTTTCAAACTTTTTTGACCATGACCCACGTAAAGAAAAATGATTTCTATGAGGACGCAGATTTATTATTGGAACAAAAATTTCATAAATAATGCAACCCTTACATGTGACTCACATTTAGATTTTTTTATTCGATTTTTTTCTGGGCAACTCTCTTGGATTAAGAAATAATATGCAATCAGAGCCCTCTTGATTGATTTCACGGTTCCCTAATGTGTCAGAACCCACAGTTTTAAAAAACTCTGCCCTTGAGGCGTCAGCTCTGCTGCCTGGTCCCATAAGGTGATCCCATTACCAAGCCCGTCTCATTGGCCAGACAGCCACCCCTTTAGCCAAAGGTCTCACTTGCTTTGCTTAAATAAGGGGATCCAGAAAGGGCTTCCTGTAGACCGAGAACTGAGAGAACAAGTAAATCTTCATGGACTGCAAAGACAGGAAAGGGAAGTGGAATGTTCAGTTTGTTTGTTTGGTTGTTTGATATAATGATGATTATAATTAAATAAAGCTCTCAGCCGCTCCTAGCAGGAGACCTCCGTTCCCATCTCTGCATGTTAGCTTTTCTTGTCCATTTGGTAGCCCATTCAGGTCTTCTAGTCCATCAGGCCAGTTTTGTTTTTTATTTTTTTTTATTTTTTTTTTCAACGTTTATTTATTTTTGGGACAGAGAGAGACAGAGCATGAACGGGGGAGGGGCAGAGAGAGAGGAAGACACAGAATCGGAAACAGGCTCCAGGCTCTGAGCCATCAGCCCAGAGCCCGACGCGGGGCTCGAACTCACGGACCGCGAGATCGTGACCTGGCTGAAGTCGGACGCTTAACCGACTGCGCCACCCAGGCGCCCCTGTTTTGTTTTTTAAATAAAAGGATTTAAGAACATATTCAACGTCATTGCATGGAAGACAGTAACCTTCTAACGCAAGATGTTTGTTTTTAAATGCACAGAGCTAAAGTACCTTCTAAAAAAAAAATCCAAGCTACAGCTCTGTTCTCTCTCTATAAAAATTTAAAATCACATTGATTACCCATCTGGCATATCTCCTAATTATGCACCTCTTAGTGGACTAATACTCCCTTCAGAAGCAAAACAGTAAATATACAAAGGGAAACATGATTAATAATTTCTTTTTGTTCTGTTTTTCAGGACAAGTCCCGGCTCATGCTCTCCACTGAAAATGTTTCATAACTACACCCCCAAACAGATACGATCACCTGTCCCCTGATGATCCATTTAGCAGGAAGGGAGAGACATGGGAGCAAAATTCACTGTTTAGCAGAAAGGCATTGAGAAAGCAGGTACCCTATACGGGTTTTTATCTTTAGTGTGTGTGTGTGTGTGTGTGTGTGTGTGTGTGTGTGTTCTGAAACATGTTTTACTGACATTTCCTTCTATTTTATCATATTCCAGTAAGTTCAGTTGTGCTGCAACAAAGCAGTTTCCTGGATAATCAAGCGAATGTATTTGGTTGAGCAGCCATGCTGCTTACACTTGAAACAAACTCTACAATTTTTAAGACGCTGCAGCATCGTATTAGGCTCATTGTTCCAGAATATCTGTCATCCTACCAGACAAATCAGGTACATTCAGTCAAAATTGCATGGAGTGCCCTATGAATTGCCAGTAGTTTATCTTCAATGCTTTTCTGTCATTTTCTTTACCCCTTTTCCCCCTTCTAGCACCCTTTCTCCATCAGCAACCTACCAGGACCTAAACTCCCTTGCTCCCCTCAAAAGGGAAGTCACTAGTTTTGTAGTATAAGTTCATCTTATATGCAATTTCTATAACAAAAACTTTAAAATGTCGTGTTTTCCTTCATGAGCTACATAAAGAGAAGAGCCAGGCTGTGGCTTACACTGTTATCTATTCCATAGCCACACCTGGATTCTTCCTTGACAATAGAATCCCAGTATTCTTTGGGGTGGCAATAGGGCTAACTGAATATTTCTTTTCCCAGAATCCTTTGCACCTTACAGTGGCCATGTGGCATATTTCAGGCCAGAAATGCTTAAGCAGATGTCTGCTGAAGTTTTCAGGAAAGTCTTTAATGCTCTTTATTTATTAAAAAAAAAATATTTCATTTCTTTATTTTTTTAATTTAAATTCATGTTAGTTAACATATAATATAGTATTGGTTTCAGGAATAGAATTTAGTGATTCATCACTTACATATGACACACAGTGCTCATCCCAGCAAGTGCCCCCCCTTAATGCCCATCACCCATTTAGCCCATTCCCCCCCCCCAACTCCTCCAGCCACCCTCAGTTTGTTCTCTGTATTTACAAGTCTCTTGTGGTTTGCCTCCCTCTCTGTTTCTATCTCATTTTATTTTTCCTTCCCTTCCCCTATGTTCATCTATCTGTTTTGTTTCTTAAATTCTACATGAGTGAAATCACATATGTGTCTTTCTCTGATTAACTTACTTCACTTAACATAATACAGTCTAGTTTCATCCAAGTTGCTGCAAATGGCAAGATTTCATGCTTTTTGATCTCCAACTAATATTCCATTGTGTATATAACCACATCTTCTTTATCCATTCATCCGTCGATGGACATTTGGGTGCTTTCCATAATTTGGCTATTGTTGATAGTGCTGCTATAAACATGGGGTGCATGTGCTTCTTTGAACCAGCATTTTGGTAATCTTTGGATAAATACCTAGTAGTGCAATTGCTGGGTAACAGGGAAGTTCTAGTTTTGACTTTTGGAGGAAACTCCATACTGCTTTCCAAAACAGCTGCACCAGTTTGCATTCCTATGTGTTCTTGCTTTTAAGGAACACTGGCTGGCAGTGACCTTCTGTCTTCCTCCCCTGAGCAAAAACGTGATGACTGGAGCTGAAGCAACCTCCTTTTCTTTAGATCACAAGGGAAAGAAAGAATGAAAGAAAGAAGGGAGGGAGAGAAGGAGGGAGGGAAGGAAGGAAGGAAGGAAGGAAGGAAGGAAGGAAGGAAGGAAAGGAGGGAAGGAGGGAAGGAAAAAAAGGAAAGAAAGAAAGAAAGAGAAAAAAGGAGAAAGGAAAAAAAAAAAAAAGAAAAGAAAAGAAAAGAAAAGAAAACAAAGAAACTCTCAGAGACATTTGCCCCGAAATCTCTGATCCCCTGAACCAACACTGGCAGCTCACTCCTCTCAGACTTTTATTTTTATCAGAAAAATGAAACCTTATGTGTTTAAGACGTTGGTTAGTCAGGCATTTTGTGGCTTGTGTCCTAAATGAGATGCATGAAGGATTTCCTGGGAAGTTCCACAGCCCCAAGACTCCGAGTTGCCTCCGGGACTAATGTGGAGGATAAGGCAAAGGCTAAGCCAGCAAGAGGAGCCCCCAGCCCTTCCTGGCCCCTGATTCCTCCAGACTATCTCACCTTTTATCTTGTACATTGACTTTATAATTCAGAATTCATTTAAGAAAAATAAATTGGTCTAAGATGCTGTTTCAAACCACTGGGTTAGGTATTTTTTCCACCAGATTTGTTGGCTTTATTATGGAAAAAGGCCCAGAGAAATGAATCATTACTAAGGGAATTTTAGCAATAGGGTGTTGATAAGAGGAAAAATTATCCGGATCCCCTCTGACTACATCACTGCCTGTCTCCCCCAACTTAGCCGGTTCTGAGTACCAACCTAATATCTATTTTTTTTTCCAGTTAGGTTGTTGGTTGTCCCACCACCAGATGCAAAGAGGGCCCACACGATCCTATATCTTCACTAAATTCCAAGGATCAAGACCCGTGTAGAAGGTAAATATAGAGACACAAGGAATGTTTCAAAATTAATAACTGGTACTTCATAAGAGAAGAACCTGTGTAGAGGTGGGGAGGCCCATGTTTGCTTTTGTGTCCCTCTTGTCTGGAGGCTCGGGCCTTGGGGGAAGACTGAATCGGTGGGGAATCTTGAGACCAATATTCGATGAGTTTCCTTCTGTACAGGAAGGACTTGGTGCCTCCTGTATGTAATGTTGGTGTCCTGAAATGTTTTGCAAAGCCTGAATGTTGGAGATCAGACTCACATTTTTTTTTTTTTCAACGTTTATTTATTTTTGGGACAGAGAGAGACAGAGCATGAACGGGGGAGGGGCAGAGAGAGAGGGAGACACAGAATCGGAAACAGGCTCCAGGTTCCGAGCCATCAGCCCAGAGCCTGACGCGGGGCTCGAACTCACGGACCGCGAGATCGTGACCTGGCTGAAGTCGGACGCTTAACCGACTGCGCCACCCAGGCGCCCCCAGACTCACATTTTAAGTTCACAAGTGCACACAGAGAATTGTTTGAGAATGAAATAATGCCCGTCCACTTCTCCTTACCTCTCATATGCAACCCCTCCCCCACCTCAGCACCCCATCCTTCCCGCCAGGTCAAAATTCTTTTGCTCGCCCAGCTTCTGCTCTCCTCATTCATTTAGCATCGCAGACTGTGGGCTTTAGAACTGGAGAAGCTTGGGTCTCATCCCAGGTCAGCCACTCACTGCCTGGGTGACCTTGGGTTAGTCT